AAAGATCACATCACTCGTGGACCAGCATAAAGATAACGAATCCATCGGAAAAATATCGGTATACATCCTCCGCATTCTACGAGATATCAGAGCAGAGTTACCTAGTATTCCTGCACTACAAAAGTTCGGACTCACACTTGTCCCATCACTGCACGAAAATCTCGCAGGCATGGTCTCAGAAAATCCCGTCTTAGCTCTTGCAAAATCTCTCAAAAAAAAGAAGGTTGCAGGTAGGGCATTATGGGAAGGTACACCGGAACTTCCTGTTCAGCCCTCCCCAACTACGTTCAAATTTCTGAGAGGATTGTCAACTGCTATGGCTGATGCTGGGGCCGATCTATGGAGTCCTGTTGCTGTCAAAGTGTTGAAGGCGCACTTGGACTCACAAGTTGGAGACCAATGGAGTATGGTTCTAGAAGAGAAAGAGGAAGAGGCTAGTAGTGGAACGACTGATTCTACAACCGAAGTTCCTGAAACAGATACCGAGGAAAAAGAAGGGGATGCTCCTGCTCCTGCTCCTGCTCCTGCCCCTGTTGTAGAAGTAGATGAGGAAAAAGTGAAGGACTTACTAAAGCAATCACTATTTGATATCTTTGTCTTGCAGCAAGCTTTAGCATCACAATCGGATGGCGAGGAGAACAAACTTAAGAACTTAGCAGATGAGGTGGAGACAAAGCTAGATCTTGAAGGGAGAGAAAAGAAACGTGTGGTTAATGGCGCGGCAGAGTATTGGAAGAGGTGCAGTCTTTTGTTTGGACTTTTAGCGTAGATTATAGATGGATGGATGAAGGAGAGACTTGTAATGAATGCTATGAATAGTTTACTTCTGAGTATTTAACCTTGTGAGTTCAAAAACCTGAGGCGCTGGGCTTGTAAGAGCTGATTTGTATATGAGAATAACTTGAGTATTGTGGAGAATGTAGCTACTTAGACGTGTCTTGCCTTTTCTGCTGCTGTTTAGTTTTTAAGATCTACATTTGCTCGATTGTCATCCTTTTGTATTGCGATTGCCCGATATTGTCGCTGCTAGTGCAGCTCCACCAATAACGAAATTGCGATTTGATGATTTCCACAGCTCTGAGCGCTGACCTCCCCATACCCATTACATGATCTACGATTATTTAAAGCTTCAACTTGCATTTTTTCAGTCATATCGATTACGACCTGAGTGCAAGAACTGCTTTGGTTTGTTGGCGGATTCATGGCTTGGTGGGGGGCTAGGGGGGATGCTATATTATATTCTGTCTACTGAGACTGGGTGTGTATTGCAGGAATTTGGTATAGGTAGGAGGTCTAGGTTTGAGGGGATTATTCGAGTGTGATGAGTGGGGGGGGGGGGGGGGGGGGGTAATAGGAGAAGAATTCGGGGCGATTGGGTGTTCGATTGGATATACGAGATGAGATGAGATGGATGGATGGATATCGGGTCTTTCTTTTTCCAGCGTTTCATTCGTGTCTACTCATGCTTTGAATCAAGAGCGTTGTGAATATAGTTTAAAACAGGAAGATATAGATTGCTCGGAGTGAGATTTCGAAGGACTATTCAAATAACCTTGCGCTTTTACACTCTCCATCTACTATATTACAATACTTCACTCGCTCATGAATACTTCCGAACCTTCCAGGCTCTTCTTCCTACTATCATTTGAAGAGGTGAGATGTGAATATAGACAGTTATTTGAACTTGTTGAGATACAGGCTGTAAGGCAATCGCAGGACGTGAAATAACTCGGAGGATGTGTCCGTGATGATTGCGATTTATTGAATCTTTGGGCATAGGATTGTATGATTTCTTGTTGTTTGGAATCTTCTCTTTCTTCAATTCTACACGATTTTTACTATTAGTGTATCGTAACACTATACTATCTTCTAAAGCCTTCGTGAAATGCTCCCTCGAAAATTCAACAAAACTCCTGGAAATCTACTTCCATGGCCATAATGTATCATAAATGATAGCAGAGCTATATTGTATCAGTACCTGTATCGATTGATCATAGTCTTTTTACTAGGTATCTAACCTTTTAAAAGGATGACACAAACTGTTTATATACCCAATTTCTCCAATTTCGTACCCGTAATGACATGGGAACTGAGAAAGAGCGCCGCCATCAAGGATTCCAGAGATACAAATCATCTATACTAATGGTCGTATAATATACGTATGGAGAGGGCATTTTCGAAGATACGCCTTGCAGATGAATTGGATGTTTGGATTGCAGACATCAGAAGAAGACAATCATCAAGTGTTGAGTCTTGATAGTGAAGGATACATCTTGCATGAGGTTTCCATATCTGCTTACCCGAGACGCCAATGTGTGGTTGCAATAAGAATAACAGTCATACCAACAAGTAATATTTAATACCGATGGCTCGGCTCGTCACTGGTTTTGGCGAAGATTACAGTAAGCTTGTTGTTGGTAATATTTGGATTGTTCCCGTATGTAAGCCAATACATTAGTGGCATTTGCCAATCCGGAGAAAGGAAGAAAGTAACTTCTTTCCTATGCTTCATATGGATGAAATATTCTCCAAACTACGAGTAAATAATATCGCAAGAAACGGGTGCTATTTTATTTTACGCTATACATGTTGTTTACCTTGTTTTCCACCGGGTTTGCGGCACTAACAGTAACTCATCAAGTCAATGACGACAAAAGCTTGAAGATCAAGAATCGACTTTCTGCCTTGCATTCACTGATATCATTAGCCTAGTCTGTGCCGCAGAAAAAGCTCACTTGAAGCATATCCCATTATGGTGAGCGATTAGATGGTGAAGGCTTTGCAAGTATGGCGCTATGCGGTAGGAGAAATAAAAAACAGTCATAAGCCTAAGCCTCACTCTGACAGGCACACACACATGTCATGATGTAAGTGGGGTGGTAGGGCATATGAACTGTACTCGGACTCGACAATGAAAGGTGGTCAAAGATGGAGGAGGCGCAGACGCAGACAGACAGACAGACAGACAGGACGAGAAACGCGCTCGAGACGAGCAAGTCATTCTGTGACCCACATTGACATACAGCACCTCAGATGCTAGGTACTCGTATCCACATTGAGCCGCTTCAGGTTCTACGCAACGCTACGATCGAAGGATTCCCCACCAGTCAACCACGTTTCTTGGCTTATAAGCTTCCCTTAGTTCTTACCCGGAAATAGGGCGTGGAAGATGCCAGATCGAGACACAGAGACAAGAGGCACAGAGATAGATATCTTGGACTGTTCAAGGGACATGGCTGGGGTCAGGAAGGAAACAATCTCGGTGCTGAAAATACAAAAGCGGTATAGTCCCGGAAAGGAGGTCGAGCCATCTCACCGGAGTACTATATCTTGACCAAATCCAAATCACATGATTTTGCTTACGAAAATAGATTGACCCTTGCAGGACCTTGTTGCTGCCTCACTCCTCATTCATCAGAACACGAACCACTGCGAGCAATGGAGGGACAAGAATAAACGTGCCAATCTTACCGACATTCATATCTGGGCGCTGACTGTATAGAAAGAATATTTTTATCGGGAATCCTCTGGGCGGGTAGGGCTATGTTCCACCACCAAACGGAGACATTATTAAAAACGGGTTTAACCTTCCGTTATCTAACTGCAAGCATGGGCCTTTTCTCTAACACTTCTACAGAGTATGAGATGAGACTCATATATTGAGGCAGGCAGAGCAAGCTCAAATTCACGTAAGCTGACTCTCCACTTTCATGACTAAAAGGTACCATTGTGACTTATTCGGACACAGAACGGTTAACAGTACAGAGTAGGTGGTTGACAAGATGATTCCTAGGCATCGATATCAATCCGGATCAGATTTCCTTCACAAATGTTTCTAGTCGTCATATCTCGTATATCGCTCAAGAGACCTTGGTACATGGGATGAAAATGTGCCGCGATTGATGTGCACCAGCGGCGTTCAATCACTCCGATTGCACAGCTAAACCATATCAAAAAGAAGCCAAAGTTCCTAATGTGGTGACAGTGAGGGCTATCACATCGTTAGCTGCATGCTGTAAGCCACATCGTTCTTCCCGGGATATGATGGTGGGATGCTATCGCCAATTATTGGTACCTTTTTATCCATCTTGTCTATTATGGGAAAGCAGATGAAGAAAATAAGGAAATAGAGGAGAGAGCGATTTTGTAAGGATCCTCGAATATGTTTCCCCAATTGCTGTCATAGCACCTTCGAAAGGAACGGCAGAATTGAGGGCTGATCGTCTCACACACTACTTCTCCTTCATCAACCAATCTCACAACCCCAATAACCACAAAGCAGGTCGTCTTACCGATTTGATTTTTTCGATGCTTACATCCGCGGCTGATTGAAAAATGATTTTACATATAAACAATTTAATCATCAATCAAATGGAGTGACCGGCCCCCACACTTCAGCCCATTAACTAAAATAGGTCTGGTCTGTCTAGTCTATATTTCTTGGTATCGGGTCATTAAATTGACTGAAGTATGAAAAGATTCACAGTACATTTTTGGATCTTACATTTCCATTGGTCAATTTCCGAGTACTTCTTCAGTAGTAGCCTGATGAATGCTTGTCGTCATGTACGCCCGGGGAAAAAGAGGTACAATATTCGGCTCAGACGAGACATGGGACCTGGTGGCTGGAATCATATCTCAATTCCACATTCCTTTCAGCTTGATGTTACTCAGCCTTGGAAACCCCTAACGTATTAACGAAGCCGTTTCTCCATATTGCTTATATCCTTTTCTTAAATACTACTCACTTCACAAAGACTGCTGTTTTCTCTTGTTTCAAAAAATTACTTTTTAATTTCTCTTTGCTAAGTTTACTCATATATATATATCTTCAAAGTTAGCGTTATCCGTTGAAGATTTCAGTCGATCATCAAAGACCCCTGCTGCGCAAGTGTACCAACATTCAGATCTTCAAATTTGGTATCACTATTGATCTATCAATACTTCAATTGAGTGTAACAGATTTCCACTGGTGTACCGAGACTGGTACAAATCTCATCATGGCGACATCTGAACCTTTAGAGTTTCCCAATATGCCAAACGGTAAACCGCGGCGCAATGGGATTAACGCCAATGGGAAAGGACTTAAACCAAATGGTGTTAATGGCACTACTTCAACTGACGGTCAGAATGGACATTATCATGGGGATAGTGGACTAGGCGAATCTCTTGATGACCTTAAAAATATCAATGGTCACACACAATCAAATGGACATTGTTCAAGTGATGAGGAACATCCACATCTTGACAAATCACATCGAATTGAATCTTTTGGTGCTCGTACTACAGCATCAGGGGGTCAACCGAGACAAAATTCTAAGATCCGGACATATACCGATGATCCTGACAGCAGAAACTTTCCTCGGATATCGAAACCTGTAGAGCTTCTGAGGAATGCTTATGATGTAGTGGTGATTGGATCAGGTTACGGTGGATCAGTTGCTGCTAGTCGTATGGCAAGAGCTGGACAATCAGTATGTCTCTTGGAAAGGGGGAAGGAAAAATGGCCAGGAGAGTATCCCAGTGGCACCAAGCACGCGATGGAGGAACTTCATGTATCAGGAAATTTTGCTCCGGGAATTTTACCGGGTATGATGGTGGAAGAGGGAGATCCTACAGGCCTTTATCATCTCATATTTGGAAAAGGTCAAAATGCCTTCGTAGCCAATGGTTTGGGTGGAACAAGTCTTTTGAACGCCAATATATTTCTCGAAGCCGACAAAGACACTCTGGCGATGGATTGTTGGCCAAAGGAATTGCGAGAGGAAAAGGCTCTAAAAGAATACTATGATCGAGCTGCATCTGTTCTACAACCTCAAAGTTATCCAGAAGACTGGCCTGCACTTCCCAAGTTGACATTGCTGGAGAAGCAGGCTAAAATTCTCGGTATGCATGAGAAGTTTTATCGCCCACCACAAACTACTCGATTTCTTGGAGGACCAAATAGTACTGGAGTTGAGATGTATCCATCTGCTTTGACGGGTATGGATTGCACTGGTGTTAATGATGGAAGCAAAAGTAGTACTTTGGTCAACTATCTCTCAGATGCATGGAATTGGGGAGCAGAAATGTTCTGTGAATGCGAAGTAAGATATGTTAAAAAACATCCAGATCCTAAACAAGAAGGTTATCTCGTATGCTTTGCATGGCATGGAAGCAATCGTGGATCTTTCAAGACCAATATTTACGAAGATCTCCTGTGGGTACACGCAAAGAAGTGTGTCTTCCTTGGAGCCGGATCGATTGGCTCAACAGAAATTCTTCTCCGAAGTAGGACCTTAGGAATGAGCATGAGCGACAGAGTAGGCAAATCCATGAGTGGCAATGGAGACATGTTAGCTTTTGGCTATAACACTGATGAGAACGTTAACTCAATTGGACGTGCATCCCCCGCGGTAGATAATCCTGTTGGTCCTACTATCACAGGCATCATCGACAATCGAGAGGGCCATGCAAATGTTTTGGATGGATACGTTATTGAAGAGGGTGCGATTCCAAAAGCACTTGCTCCACTATTTCAATTCATGCTTGAGAAGCTTCCAGGTTCTGAAGCACCAGCGGATTTGACAACTCTTGAGAGATTGAGGCACACATTGTCATCTGCAGGGAGTCGTTTTTTGGGTTTATACTACAAAAAGGGTAGTATTGAGAGGACACAAACATATCTTGTTATGAGCCACGATACCAATCAAGCCATCCTTACTCTCAAAGATGATAAACCGTGTCTTGAGTTTCTTGGTGTGGGTCGAAGTGATCATGTTAGGAAAATCAACAACGTCCTCAAAGAAGCCACAGAAGCTGTCGGTGGAACATTCGTCAATAATCCCTTCTATTCAGCACTAGGCCAGCAAGAGATTACCGTTCATCCTATCGGAGGTGCTTGCATGAGTTCGGATAACACCGCACAATACGGAGTTACTAATCATTTTGGAGAACTTCTCACTGGTAGTGGTAGTGAGACATATCCTGGTCTCATAGTTTCCGATGCTGCTGTTATTCCCTGCGCACTAGGCGTCAATCCATTCGCAACAATTACAGCGCTGGCTGAACGCTCAGTTGCTCATGCCGCGAAGAATCTCAATCTTAGTATTGATTATGATACCAGCAATGGAGTATTAGATTTGTTCGGCGAACCGAAGTTTGCTCCCATGCAATTGCAAAGTTATAGCACACAGAACTTTGAAGTTGAAGTGGCTACTAAGATGATTGATGAATCTGAAGATTCCCAAACGAGCGGTTTTGGTTTCACTGAGGTGATGGAGGGATTTGTTCACATTGGAGAGAATTTGAAGGGTGACCATCCAGAGGACTACGAAATTGCTGCCAAGACTGCTAGGGGGCTTTGCGAGGCTTCAAGGTTCTTTTTGAGTGTCAAAACTTTTGATACACGTAGAAGTATGTATTTCCCCTTAGCATAATATCATACAATTACTAACATTTCTTCAATAGTTGTTCATCGAGCGGATCATTCGGCTATGCTAACTGGCACATTTGTTTGTGCTTCATTACCCGGTAGTCCTTTTATGGTTCAACGTGGAGACTTCCAACTCTTCAATGTCGACCATCAAGCTCCTGGTACTCGAAATCTAACATATGATTTCGATATGACCTCTACTGATGGAAAGCAATTACACTTCCATGGTTTTAAAATTGTTGATTCATCAGTTGCTCTTGGGCCATTGAAATTCTGGACCGCCGCATCAACATTATACGTCACCATCACTGAGAAAGACGCCAACAAAACTGTACTAGGAAGAGGAATGATGCATATCCGACCCAAAGATTTCCTATCGCAAATTTTCACACTCCAGGCTTTTGGTCGTAACTTTTGGTCTAGACTTCAATCTACCACAAGCTTTATGACTTTCTTCGCGAAACAATCAGCCAACCTCTTCTTCGCTCCATTTACATATCTTCAATACCCAACCGTCGCCTACACCGGCTACATAAACCCCACCCCCCTGATAAAACCTTTCAAATCGTCGCCTCCGACAACGTGAAGACCCTTCTTCACGTCTGGGAGCCCCAAAACCCCAACATCGAAACCAAAAATCTCGTCTTCATCCCCGGCGCCTCAGTCGATCATCAGATCTTCGCGCTCCCAACAATCGAGATAAACGCCATCAATTACTTCACCCGAGCTGGCTACCGCTGCTTCGTTGTCGTCCATCGCATCTGTCAACTCGCGGTCGCAGAAAATAACTGGACCACTTTCGACGCACGTCTCGATATCAAAGCCTCGCTCCAATGGATCCGCAAAGAACATGGCCATGATCCTATTTATACAATCGCTCATTGTATGGGCTCTGTGGCGTTTTCGTCCGGACTCCTAGATGGTACTATTCCCGCGAACTGGATCTTAGGAGTCACCTGTTCGCAGGTCTTTATGAATCCAATCTGGGCAACTTTGAATTTGGCCAAGGCGCTCGCGGGTCCCATTCCCTTTGACAAGTTGTATAAATTCTTTGGGGGAAATTGGTTCAGCTGTAGTAGTACGAAGGAAGACTCATATTTCCAACAAGCGGTCAATCAGCTGTTGAGATTCTATCCCGATAAGAGGTGTGAGATTTGTAATAATGTTTCGTGTCATCGCTGTTCGTTGATTTTCGGTCGGTATGTATTTTCCCTGTCCCTTAGTCTTACTTTTGTTTTTCGATAATATTGGAATGGAATTGAAATTGAAGAGGAAATTGAGATGAAAACAACGCTAATCAAAATAACCTTTTAGTCTCTGGAACCACAACAACCTCAATGAAGCCACCCATCGTCAAATCAACCGTTTCTTCTCCGGCGTCAACATGACGTGTCTCCATCTCCTCATGAAAATGGGCACCATCGGGCACGTTACCGGCAACGCACCGCTCTTTCACCCGCTCACCTCGTCCAAAAACATTCGTCGTCTCAAAGGTATCCCTTTCTTCCTCTTCTCCGGCTCGGACAACAAAGTCCTGAATCCAGAGAGCACGACAAAGACGCTGGAAATTCTGAGGGATGAAAACGGTGGAGGGACCGAGTTTGAAATGTATGAACGCACGGAGATTAGAGGGTATGGACATTTGGATTGTTGGATGGGCAGGGAGGCATATAAGGATGTGTATCCCGAGGTGAGGGAGCGCGTGGATAGAGTGTGTAGGGGAAGGGAGTATAGGTTTGAGGGAAGTGTGGAGGGGAAGAAGGGGATCTAGGGTGGAGAAGTGGAAAATGGAAGTTGGAAATCAGGAATTAGGGGCTGAGATTAGGGATTGGGGAAACGAGCCCCAAACGAGAGTAACGTATGCTGTATGTAGTATTAGAAATCGGGATTGGGATTGGGATTGGGATTAGGACTGGCTCCGGGATTTGATATGTGGCACAAAGGATGAGGAGTTTAGGCGATGATTTTTTCTTTCAAGTTTCCAGGGATTTAGATTGGATCGGCTCGGTTTGGGTTGGATTGGATTGGATTGCATTGGATATGGTTTTGATGGATTCTTCTTTTCTTTCTTTTTTCTTCCTCTCTTCCTTTATTCTCTCACCCTCTCTCTCCTAAACCATCCACGATATCTTCCATTCTACGCACAACCCAGCGAATTTAGTTTTAGCTTTACTTTTGGTTCCTGTTGGATATATAGAATCTTGATATCTACTCCCTACAGATAAAAAAATTCTCAACTATACTTAGGCAGTGCTCCTTCTAACTTCTCAACTTCTCAATTTTCAATTTTTGATGGAAAATCTCACATGCTCTTGAATATAAAATTCAAAAATTGAAATCCACCACTTCCCATCTATCATCTACTAGACTACTACTGTCTATACATTTGACCTTCAATCAACCAAACACAACGCAAAAACCCCCAAATTCAGAAACTAAGAGCAGCGGAACGAAGGATATAAAAAGAGGAAGAATAGGGATAAAGAAAGGAAACCTCTTGAGCTTCTTGTAAACTCACTCCAGCAATTCAAACAGTCCAGACTACTCAAAACTCTGACCTGCTTCATTTCAATACAATATATAGGCAAATTCCAGATTTTAAAAATCAACTTCATTTCATTTCTTGCTATCAATTCCATGATCAACCCTATTCCATTCCCTGTTCCATGAACTCATTGGTTCTATGGCTCCGATCCGACATGAACCCACTCAATTCATTCCATATTCTCCCAATCCCATCCCGTGGATCCAATATCTATTTTTGATTATTTCATTACTTCATTTATGTCATCCTCTACTTCCCTCCCACCCTTCAACCTCTCCTTATATCTCTTCTCAATCCCACCTCCATCTTTCCATAACTACCACTCTCGAAACATTCCCGAAGAAGAATAAGAAATGAAGTGAAGTCAGGAAAAGAAAATCCTCCAAATCCCTCATCGAAAAATCGAAAGAACTTCTCACAATCTATCTAAGCAAGACGCCAACGATCAGTCAAGGAACAAGGGAATTTTTTCTGCTATAGGCTAGGTTTCCATCGCAATCAACTTTATTCTTTTCAAGTGCCTGACGTGGATATGAAAAGAGAAAGAAGAAGGTATCTGAAAAGTAGGAAGGAAGAAGAAGAAGAGAGGTAAGAGATCAAAATAGGGAAACTACTTTTGTTGAGGAGGAGCATTAGCAAAGGTAACACCCTTAGAAATGTTACCCTTAAGACCATCGACGCAGGCGGCCAAAAGTTTCTTTTCGGCGTCGTTAATTTTGGAGAGAGGGTTTTGAGCCTTTTCGGCACCGTTTGTCTATATGATGGTTAGTTTGTTTAATCTCGATTGCAATACAAGGTGAAAATAAACTTACGCCGAGTTCAACAGGAACAGAGAAGAAATCGAGACCAGTTTCCTTGGCAATAGCCTCGCCTCCTGGAACACCTGGAAGGTAGACGAAAGTTGGCTCGACAATACCCTTCTCACCATTCAAGGCCTTGAGAACCTTCTCGGCGAAACTATTGTCTGGTCAATAAAATCTTCTTAGTTTTAGATTTTTAAACATACCGGAAGCCAGCATAAGCCATAGAAAGAGTAGCTGATCCAGCACCATCCTTAGCCTTGACAACTTCATCACCACCAAATTGAACTCTGTTAACCAGAGCATCCAATTTGTCAGCTGGGATCTCAACACTGGGGCTGGCTTGGCTGAAAAGTGGGACAATGGTCTCTCCAGAGTGGCCACCAATAACTGGGATAGTCAATTCTTGTGGGTTTGCTTTTCCGACAATTTCAGCAACGAAGGTCTCAGCTCTAACAACATCAAGGGTAGTAACACCGAAAAGACGTTGAGCATCAAAGACTCCCTTAGCCTTGAGAACCTCGGCGGCAATTGGGACAGTAGAGTTAACTGGGTTGGAGATGATAAGGATGTAGGCTTTTGGAGCAACGTCGGCGATGATCTCAATAAGACCCTTGACAATACCGGCATTGATGTTGAAGAGATCATCACGGGTCATTCCTGGCTTACGGGGAATTCCAGCTGGGATGACGATAATATCGGCGTTCTTGAATGCCAACTTGGCACCATCATCCTTTGGCAAGTATCCGGTGATTTTCTGTGTAGATAGCACAGATTAGCTCCTGTGATATTGCTTTCCTCCTAACACCTCTAGACTCATCCCATTTCTTCGGATTGTATACGTACAGCTGGGCTCGAGATGTGCGAGAGATCAGCGGCAACACCAGGAGTGTTAACAACATCGTAAAGTGCCAACTCGGTGATGAGAGGAGAAGTCTTGAGGAGAAGAGACAATGGCTATAAGTAACACGATAACAAATTAGCAATCCATTCCATAAATGCACCTCTTCTGTGTTGCATCCAGAAGATCCAAATCAAGTAAACAAAACTCACCTGTCCGATTCCTCCGGAAGCACCAGCGACGACTACGCCTCAAATCAGTATTTTCGCCATCCCAATCTTGCATAATAGAGATACCTACCAGCTTTGAAACCCATTTTGAGATATGTTAACGTATGTAGCGGTGTGTGTATGTGTGTTTTTGTATTGAGGTATTGAGGTGTTGAGGTATGTGATGAGAGTGAGAGTGAGAGTGTGAATGTGGGTGTGAGTGTGAGTTGTAAGTTCTGTCCAGTCAAGAATTATTAGTACTTCGCGCCAAACAATCAGCTCATACCAATACCCCGCATCGCCCATCCAACAAATTGGACCCCTCAACAAGTCAAATCCATTCACCCATCCATCCACTCATCCACTCATCTCGTCCAATCTTCTTCTCTATTAATTCATCCCTCACTTCCTTGCTTACTCATCCTTTCTCAACCCTTCCTCCTTCTCACTGCAATAGAAATCCATACATACCTCGGGTACTTCAATTAATATCCAGTCTTTGGATGTTCTTTCGATTTATCTCTTCGAAAAGGAAAAGCAGCGAAGAAGTCAGTCTTTATTCTCCAATCTCAAGTCGGTGAAGTGGAGAGCTTAAAAAGGGTCAGAAGCTCAAACAAAATGGGTGATTTGGTTGGTTCTGATTTGGTTGGCTGGAGGGGTAAAAAAGCAGAAGGGTGCTTGCTATAGCGGGGCAATTCTTCCAATATCCCTTTCTGATTGGATACTTTGGGACCGCAATAGGGAACTCGGGTCTTACCTTGTTACACCTGGGCAGTCGTGCGTTTCTTGGGACTTCTTGGTATTGGTGGCTTGGTACTGGTAGCTTGATAACTGAGCTGAGTGGATGGATGGTAAGTGATAAATGTAAACACGTGTAAAGTACCGGCAGTGAAGATGTATCCATTTCAAATCAAGGAACATTGATTGTTTATATAAAAGAGCCATCTTCTCCGGAATCTACCCATCAATACGTAACCTTGGGTAAGTCTGGGGAAAGGGTAATCTAATTGTCTACTGACCGAGGCATAAGCCCCTTCGGTTCGGAAATCTACGGACGCGTCTATCTATCGTTTAACTTCTCCCAAAAGACATGTGCATCATGAGGGGAGAAAGCTCTACGAAATGTTCCGGTCATCACATTCACATGTCCGTATATCGCAATTTGAGCTTTGGCATGGGATGAGTACTCTTCCGTTGTGGATTGTGATGCCGATTGCTTGAGCCTTCCTTCCGCCGGTAAACATTCAATCAACTCCACCATCTAGTCTCACAATCACTTCACAACCATCACTTGAAATTCCATCCAGATTTCCAAAAGCCATCATGATGCAACCGATTCATTGAAAACTAGTTTGTATGTCTGTCTCAAATGTCATAAAATAGACCACTCCACTCATTAAGAGTACCTGAGGAACCAGACTAGACCCAACCAATTGAACAATAATCAATTCCCCCATTCCCCAACCATATCAAATTGGTATCCTTTACTCTTCCTTCTCAGCAGCCTTGGCGGCCTTGGATCCTCTAAGCTTTGGTGCTGGGGCATCTTTCTTAGGGGTTTGGGATTCGAGGATAGCGGAGGAACGGGCGACGGCTTCAGCACGGAGGTCAGATCTGTATCCACCTTGGGCGACGGTCTTTGCGACACCAGCGAAGGTCCTATTTTTAGGAAAAGTTTCATTAGTATCAATCTTCATTCCTGGATTCGACGAGGTTCTGTAATTGGATCAAACGTACTTTCTGCCGGACTTGCTGTAGGTGGTCTTGTTCAAGCTGGATGCTGGCTTTTGGCTGGCAGAGGTCTTCTTGGTGATCAAAGTAACACCCTTCTCAGATGGGACAACACCAACGGCCTATTCATATACTTAATTAGTACCACTCATTCCATTCCTATTCATATATTCATCTTCGTCCTTGGGGGATCATATTCGTATCGTACCTTGTCGTTGACGAAACCAGCATACTGCAATTCAATTAGCCTTTATTCTTGTTGAAGATTCTGCGGTAAAGATTGCTGTAATCCTCCCGATGATTCCGTACCTTTCTGGAGTGCTTGTTGGTCAAGTTCAAGGGATCTCTGGAGAAGGTGCTTCCACCACCAGTTGAGCGCTTGACCAAGAAAGCGTTCTGGGATCCTAGATAAATTCCATAACCATCAGTAACTGTCCACCTCTATTCGATTCTCCTTTCATATTCGTATCCTCTCGATGATCGAAATTGCAATTCAACGTCCCCCCTCTTGAGTCCTTTCGACATCCCTCAAGTCCCTTCAACCTTCGACCCCAAATCTCAAATTCCATCCCTCAGCATTCCAACAATGAAAACAGGTAAACGTACTGGTAACCTCCCAGATCAAATCAGCGGAAACGTATTGAGACATCTTGACGGGTTGGTGAGTGAGAATTGAGGAAATTCTTTTGGTCGTTGGCGGTAGTCGAAATTATGTCTAAGTCTCAAGATCTTGTCGCAAAATCGTTAAAATTCACGAATCACTGAATTTGTGCGTCCAATCAGATTTCGTCTCGCTTATCCTATTTTAGTCTTCTGTCTTTTGGCCTGTTCTTGATTCTTGATGCCTTGTGGCTGACTCATTTCGAGTCTCGAAAAATAAGGCATGCAGAAAGGCATTCGTCACTTTTCCAAGCTCGAGCCAAGATTCAATCGCATGCGGAAAGGTGGCTGTGAGGTTTGGACGGTTAGAGAAATTTAATACAATGGAATTATTCGGATAAGGCGGGCATCAACTGATGAGCTGACGTCTTGTTTCCAAAAGCGAGGTTATCGCCAGATTTTTTTTCTTTCTTTCTCTTAATGACTACCTATTCTACCTAGATTAATTTCCTTTCTTCTATCACCCATCATCTAACACCTTTGCGACCACGAATACGATTGGCTGAAAAGAGACTTGGAGATCAAGGATTCTACAACTGTTGACCAACTGCGCATGAAATTGAAAAGGTTCCGGCGACATTAAAGGTCAAGATGGCATATATACTCTATACAACCGTCTTCATTTTCCTTGTTATCTCCACTGGTAAGTTTTACACCCCCAGGATAAACTCTTTAAGACAATCAAATTACTAACACCATTCCAGTCGCCTTTGTAACCCGCGATCGCTGGTCTCCATACATCCCCGAACATTACCTCGAGCGTCTCCCCCGATTTATGTACACGCCCTATCATGCACTTCCCCATTCCTTCGAAAACGACATCGAATCTGGTTTGACCTCTTCCAACTTCAATCTCTCTCAAAATCTCCTAGATTCGGATCCACGAAATGGACTTTCAGATAATGGAAAAAGAGAAATTCAGTCAATCATGAAGAAAAAGAAGGTTAACTTTGATGAAGCGAGGAGACTGTGGATGCAGGAAACTTTCAAGAGAGAAAATATTGGACCGGATGGGAAGCCGAGGGATCCAAAGTTTGTGAGCTTTTCATGAAGAGAGAGGGAGAGCAGATAAGGGTATACATTTTTCAGCGAACAAGCCTTCGCCAAACAACAAGATGCGAAGGACTGTCTTATCGAGGGGGTTCATTCAAATATGGCTAAACCCCCAAGTTCTGGAGAAGGCTGGAAATTAGGAGAGAGATGAAGAACAGGAGAGGACAGGGAATTGGATTGGAATACGGATCGGAGATATACCCAGGAAGGATGAGCAGGAAAGGTTGCAAAGGACTTGGACGGAGATGGGATCTGGGAGGCGCGGAAAGTGTTTGATTTTTAGCGACGGACTTGAATTGGTACTGGATGTCATCAAGCAAGTGATAATGGCGTTTTGAGGTTTCGAATCCGGGTGCATAGTTACCCAGGAATTACTACGTGCCAGTACGAAGGCACATTTCTTTTTCACTCCTACATCACTTTCTTTCGTTAATTTTTTCTTTTCTTATTTCATTTGTCAATATCGATATCATTATTTGTAAGAAGAAGAAGAGGGTTATAACACCCACTTGTGTATAAATTATTATAGGGAAAAGAGGTCGTTCCATCATTTCTACATGTTATTCTAGGTGTTCACCAATATGGATTTCAAATCTGACAGCGACGAGTTCTTGAGTAAGATGAGTTGTGAATATAGAGTCTTAAGACTCAAAACAATATCCCCACGATCTTGAAGATCAAAAATTCACAATATCTAGCCGACCCTACTATCCATCCATTCCCAAAACTAATATCCATAATATCCACAGGCTGGTTACTAGCTAACTTCCAATAAATCAATCTTCTTCGTTAAATGCCCCTTCCCCCCCTTCTCACAAATATAATCCAAGCCAGGAGAGAAAAAAAACCGATAGGAATATATAGAGTGAGATATGAGCTGAGTACGCGAGAGAACCCGAAAGAAGAAAGTAGATTTAGCTTTTGATCAGTCTTATTGCATATCTCAGGGCGATGGTTTGTTATTTTTATGATGGATTGGGTATCCATTAGTGTAGAGGGATGGGTAGTGGTAGTAGTAGTCTTTTGTTGTATATCTGAGAAGTGCGGTTGTTATTTTTATGATTATTAAACGCTCTTTATATATTCATAGAGAGCAAGGGAGTGTTCTGTTGCATATCCAAGAGGAACGGTTTGTTATTTTTATGATTATTGAATAGTATAGGAGTAGGTAGCGAGTGGTAGTAGTTCTTTGTTGCATATCTAAGGGAAACAGTTTGTTATTTTTATGATTATCAAGGGTTCGGTCCTCTACAGTATACATACTCTTTGTAGAGGGAAGTAGTCTTTTGTTGCAAATCTCAGAAAGACAGTTTGTTGTTTTCATGATCATGGTCAGTGTTGATAGGGGAATGGATTCGTTGAATGGAATGAGAGGGCCAAAAGTCCGGAGAGGGGAGGGAGGGCAAAAAAGAAATGAGAAATGGAATCTTTCAGTTATTTGGGGAAGTTGGTTTATGGAGGCCATCTACTTTGGAGTTGGAGAGAAACCTGACGTTTTTATATTCTGTCGTCCTCGTCCTCTTTCTTCTAACGTCCAGAGTGCGAGAAAGAAATAGTACCATGATGAGATAGGGTGAATAGAAATCAGGATATGAGTGCAGGTAGCGATTGACTTCGCTTTTAGTATTGAGCAATGCAATGTGAGGTCCTGCAAGTTTATTGTATTCAACGCACGTGAGTTCTCCTAATTGCATCTGGCTATGAGGTGCCTGATTTAGGGGCCATCTCTCTTGCTAATCCTCCACAGCAAAACCCTACTACGTTGATAACGTGATTTCATCTGGGCAATCTACCGTGGCGCATTGCCTGAGGTCGCGACGACGATATCGACAGCGGGATATGTCTACTTCCATAACCCTGAAGTTTCCTGGTTTGACCAGCCTCTTCCTATGACTCCTTGCTAATCATCATCTGATTCGGTTCCATACCTTGCCATACCATCTCGCTAAATCGCAAATCGCTAAGTCGCAAATATTATTGTACTGTGATGTACATTGTGGTATTGTGTATCTTTATTTATCTCGTCCGCTCTTGGCATTCGGCTCTGGGTGGTTGTGTATATTAGGGATCCTCTAAAGCCCATTACTTCTTCATATTATAGCTGGCCGACCTATTGTGTGATTCTGACAGCAATAACAGAGTTTATTATATTGTTTCCAATAATCCAAATATAATCATTTCCCCGTGGTAGTGTTAACGATACTCTTAATTTGGAATGTGGCACCCGGCAATTCAGTTGTTTCTGCTTGAACAGTAGCATTTATACCCATTGAAGCGAGAGCTCCACGAATTATGCCGCAGGGGAAGTATAGAAACTGAATGATTAAGTGTTAGCTCAGGATTTCTGAGGCATACGTGAACAAGCAAGAGATACTAACAGGCTGAGCGCGTATGACTGCATTTCCGCCCGGCTCTGTACTCATGCGCGCAAAGGGCCGGAATGAATGGTCGGTCAGGACGTAGACTCCCTATTCATCCATGTCAGTATCAATTCACCTGTGCAAACCAAGCAATCATCCATAGCCCCCGGAAACGGGATAGAATACCCTATGATTCGTTTTCAGATTATCAATTTGTTTTCTAAAAACCAGCATCCACAAATCTTTACACAGAAACTTAATAACGTCCAATGTATCTGTAAACCGAGGTCGATCTTTGCTAAATCGCTCCACGAGACCTAATCCAACACGATATCCGAGACTTTCGAGACGAAAAAATACTCGTTCGCGTTCTTCTTCTTCTTCCATTTTTGGAGGCGCAGATGGATTGGGAGAGGAAGAAGAGGGCGAAGAAGGCGCATCTAGTGCGTGTACAGTACGGTAGGCCAAAGGAACGAGTTCGATAAGGAGGAGATCCAGACAAGAGGAATTGAGGAAGGTGGCCGTGGGATCAGAGGCATTGTAGGGTGGAAGAGGCGATTCGAAGGACATTTTTATGAACTGTCAATAGTAGGCCAAGGTACGAGTGATTCGGTGTGACTTCTTTTGGTTTGCGCAAGGAGGATGGAGAGTTGAGTGGATGTGGTGATTGCAAGGATCGCACGAGAATAAGGTAAATTGTAAAAAATCACTCTGGGGTAGATGATTTGCGAGAATGAGTGTGTATTCTGCAATCGCAAATGTAGAGAGAGTATAGGTGATGAGTTGGTGAGGTTGCAGAGGATTGCTACGTAATTCAGTAGCTTACTGAAGGGGATGATGCTTTTGCTGTGATTCGGCCAGAGCATCGGTAATGTTACGATTCGCGAAATAATATTTCCGCGCCGGGATTTCAGAATCTTCGACAAATATCATATACATCATACCAGTGAACTTATCAAAAATTATTCTTCAATTCTATCTTGTGAGATATGAATAGTTTTGAGTTGCACTCAGACCTTACAAGATGTGGAATTTTATAACCTGTCCATCAATGACCAATTAGCAACACCAGCTGACAGTTGTGATGAGATATCCCACATCCAGACCTTTAAGTGAAGGGAGAAAGTTCTACCCACCCCAAGCAAATGTTTTGCTTAAGTTTCTAGCTACATTGTACGAAATGTGTTTGATACATGCCAATCTGAGGTCACTGTAATTGGTATAATCATAGTTAGATGGCCATATTGATCCTGACTCAATTTAGCAGCTCAAGTTGACTGCGTAAGGTTCAGTCTCACATACTATTGTTCTTCAATCTCTCTTGTGTAGCAAGTATACATATAAATATCTTCAAGGATTGAAAGAGGAATGAAAACAAAATTGAATCATTAATTCAGGCACAAAGAATTTGGAACGGGAGCAGGACGGCTACTGGCCGCTCGAGGCAGTACTCCAGGGCCTTGATGCCTTATGAATATTCCAGAATATCATTTTATCGCTTTATAAGACCTATTCTGGGGGCTTAAGCTTGGATCCTGGTTGGATTGGAATCGGTGGATAGGCTTCTGTTGAATAATGATGAATACCAACAACGTTTAATGTAACAGGCAATATATAAGATTGAAATTTCATGTTTTAGGAGTACTGAAATCAATGACTTTCAATCATCTTCATCCACAAATCGAGATACAAAACGATAAATCATCCCCATCCCCATTCACGATCAAATCTCATACAAACATGTATCATCATGTCAATGAATCCGTCTTCTGGACACAGACCAAAACGGCGGCCTCCTGACGACAATAAATCTTCAACTCACAATTTAAACGGATCAGAAGCTGGCCCTCCCAAGATCAAAGACCCAGTGAAGCTCTTCGAAAAACACCCGGAATTCAACCGAATTATCAAAGATCTGAAAAATTACGACCGTTCTCTAGATTCGGCATATAACCATGGAGAAACAGGCCTCAAAGCACATCAAAATGAAATTCAAAAGGCCATCAAAACTCTGGAGGAGACACCAAAAACTATTGTAGATAAGGTTAAGATTATACTTCAGGTCACAGAACAAAAGAAGGATCGTATACGCGATTTAGAATCAGCGAAGGATGATTGCGAGAGTCAAATGGAAAGGGATTCCAACCCGAAATAAGTTTGGAAGAAATGGCAAAAACATTATAATGAAGAAGAGACAACGAGAGCGGTGGGAAAAAGACGCTTGGAGGAAGCCAGACAACAATCACATGCAAGAGAACCTCCGAAGGAAATTTATTACAAAAGGGACCGTTTTAAGTGGTCTGATCAGGATGGGTACTTTTTAGAAAAGTACGGCACTGAAAAACTCAACCTTGAAGATGTGATTCTGAGTATGAGCGAGTTGCTGAAGCAACTGAAGAAGTCGCAGAAGAAGATCAAGTGGCACGAGAATCGCAAACACGATTCGGAGTTGCTCAGCAGGCCCGAGAAGAAAAGCCTGAGTACTCAGGAGGTTGGGAGGATACCAGGAAGATAAGAGAGCCTGGTAGTCAAAAGATTGATTGTTATATGATAGAGTACCATCAGAATTGATATTAAGCGATATCTTTCAAACCGATTTGGTCATTTCAATGAATTCTTTTGTAACATGAGTGCGGAGCGAAATCAAACTCGAAGCTCCAGAAGTAAACTTAATCTCCAAATTGTAGGATTTCAAATGCGAAGTTATCAACACATGCAGATTGACTTCACCGAGCATTCAAGTAGATACGGATATATCGGCTTGAGAATGATTAATGGAGTGACGCATATTATGACTGTAAATCTTCAGCTTTTCTTCATTTTGCCTTAAGGAACATTATGTTATAAATTATAGTGCCATATAGATTCGGAGTGCGAATAGACCCTACCCTGGTTGTGTGTGATTGATCAGCAAAGATCAAATGTATCCGAGAAGTATCCGTGCACGTGATATCAACGAGAGATATAAGTCCTCAATTGAATGGCCCTCGAGATGTACTCAAGTGCTGTATCTATCATCTGACTCAGGTTGGCTCAGTGAGAATATTGCGGCTTAGAGATTTACACAATGGGTGTTCCCAAGGACACTACTAGGAATGCAACAGAAGCGTTTGTTCTCGAGGTATATATACCACCCCTATTCGTGGATTCCTGCCGTTACTCAAATTAGTTAACGCACTTACTAGTTTCATGCAACAGCCGATTCCCTGACTACTGATGGTCTCGAGAAGTTTTATGGTAAGAATGCTATACTAAGATTTGGGAATGAAGAGGAAGTGAAAGGAGTGGATGGAATCAGAAAAGTATGTCCATCACTCTTTATTATACAGGTTGCAAACTTTATCTTGATCATGAATCTAATCAAGAGTGCATATAGTTCTTCGAGGGTGTCTTTCCTCTGCTCAAAAGCATGAAACATGAGCTTGTCGATGTTGGTATGTAATCTCATCTCAACTCCTAGTGATGAAGTCATAGTAATGAATGTATGCTAGATCGAATTGGAAACAAAATCTACCAATCTGTTTTCATAACTTATGTTGTTAAGGATGATCCAGAAGAGAGGGAAATTAAAATACCAGTTTTGGGGAAAATGTTCCTCATTCAGGATGGAGAGGAGGAGGGAAAGATGTCGAGGTTTGAGGTGTTTGCAAATCCTTCGGAGGTGTTCGCTAGGATAGAAGATGTCCTTAACATGGCGTGAAGTGATTGAGAGACAATGCAATGTATAACAGCATCGTCAGATAAGAGTATCTTGAATTCACCTTTGAATCGTACCTCTATGCTAGTCTGGGAAGGAACATCTATAAATTTGTGTGCGACGCTGTATTACAATTCCTGTGAAAATCCACTAGATTTGCTATTTCTCATGTTATCGGTGTTTTTGCTTCATTCACTTTCCCATGAATTGATCACATCTACCACCGAGGCTATCTTTTTATTTCTCTTCCTCGTCTCCTCCCTTACTTCATCTCCACGACACATCTACTCTACCTTTCACAAAATCTTGCAAATAACCTCCTTTTATGTTTTGATTCCTTTTGGACCATAAACTTTCAATTCTATTAAAGGTTTTACCATGATTAGCATTTTCAGCCTTTCCAACACACATGAGGTATAGATGGTACACAATCTCATCTTGCACACTTGAAACAAAGCAAGTCTTTATTTCTTGCGCCATATCCTGATAGTTGTTCAGACACCCTGCGATCTAGTGGATTGACGCTTCTCCAGAAAAATTTCCACCATCGGCACATACCGGTATTCTATAGCAGTTTACATCAAGATTTCAAAACTTCTTACACTATACATCTACTCAAGCACTTAAAAACATCATGGCGGCCTCTTTGGGAGAGTCATATGAACGTTTCTCTGTTCGTCTGCCACATTCCAATGGCAAAGAATCGAAATACCTAGATGAGTACATGGAAGTTGGAAAGAAAGACCCAAAAACAGGAGAACTTACGCGGTTTATCTTCTCGAAAGAAGAAACATTTGGTCTGGAAATCACCCTAAAAGCAGGCTTCAACCACGGATATTATGATGGTGTTATAGTCAAGCTGTCAGATGTCAATTCTGGGGGTATTGTTTGGCAGAAGAGATACCCAAAGTCTAACGTGAAGGAGCCGAGTCAGCAAGATCAGAAAATTCTGATTGGTTCTATCGATTACGCAATGATCGATGGGAAATTGAAGTCGAAAGTTCTCATGAAATTGGCACCACTAGTACCAGGTATGTCCCATATCCTCAAATATGTAACTGGTGATCTAACATGAATGAAAGATGATTTCCGCAAGCCTGGAGCCAATGAAACTTGTCGCTACCCCCGTATGCTGGAAGGAATCTGCATTAGTATATGCAAGTATAAGAGAGCCGGCGATATTCAATTGACCAAGGAAGAATTCGACCTAAAGCTCAAAGAACATGCGTTGAAATTAGAAAACTATGCTAGAACTGATGGCGAAGGTTCTTTAGATACCCCGAAAAGGATTCTTGTCCATCGTAAAGTATACCAGAAACACAACATTACACACAAGTTGAGGTAAGTTTTCATTTGAGTCAGTGGTGATATATATACTAAATGTCCTTTCAGATTAGTAGATGGAGTTGCAGTCCCAAACGAGGACATTGAAGTATACTTGGTCCCTCCAACAAATACTAAAAAGCTTTTCAGGTACAGTGATACACAGAATTTCTATTACCTGTGGCGGGGTGAGAGTAAGTAACACAGATCCATGAACTCAGGATTTTGACTGACGAAACCAGAGTTCTTTGATACCACAGCTATAGCCCAAACCCCTATTGCTCTAATTCGACAACCTTGGGATATTTTGACTCCCAGAGAACGAGAGGAAGCATATGGAGAGCTTTCGGTGAGCTGATTCCAAATTGGCGTCTAAAGTGATGTACTAAACTTGTACCAGAAATATGATTTCCAACAAATTTGGTCTCATCATTTTAAAGCACTTGGTCCGAAGCCTAACAAAGCAGCTACCGATGCACTAAAGAATCAACTTCGTGAAAACCTTCCAGATTACTGGCGTTCGTGGCATAAGTTGTACCTGTATGAAATTTCGAGAGCATTTAAAATGTTGCAGGTATGTTGCAACAAACAATTGCCATGTGTGTGACCTCGAACTTACCCGGTAATAGGAGAGGCGTCGATTTCTTGATAGGGGAGAGATTCCAGAAGATTTAGACATTATTGGCAAGTCTGAGGAAGCCCCCATAAAATTGGAAAATACACCGAAAAAATTGGAGAAGTTTTCTGAGAAGATACGCATTCCATCTCTCACACACCCTGGTAGGTCTGTATTTTTGAGATTAGCAGCATCCTCGCCTAAACTAGCAACAGCCCCGATGTATGAACCAGAGAGCTCTCCCCAATCAAAATCTGCTCAAATCGTCGCAGGCATGAGTTCAGCAATGGAAAGGTCTGCAAAGACTGAACCATCAGGAGCCTCAATTTTAGGTCGAGCCTCTGCCTCGATTACCGGTGTACTTGGGCCTATCAATGAAAGACTCCTCTGTCTAGAATGTGATAAGAATTTCGTTAGCGACCGAGCGTTTCTTGACCATTTCCAACCTACTCACGGCAGTAATTTTGGAGATCTCAATCAAGCTATGATGGATAAAATAAGTCCTGACGCATTTTCGAATAGCCTTCCCGGTGTATGGGCAAATACAAGAGCCACGGAGCTAATGAAAACAACAAGTAGGACGCTGGCTATCACGTCTTCTTCCGAGGTACCTGCTCCAAAAGGTCTCAATAACTCTTTATCCATAAGCTTTCATGTCGAACATAGAATGAATAGTCGTCTCACCAAGCCCGCAACCAACAAATCCTCTAAGTCCAAGTCAAGCTCGACGAAAATGTCAGTTCCTAAAACGATCACCGAGCCCATTTTCAAGACACCAAAGCGGCCGGCCGGAATTGCGGATCTGTCTGAATTGAAGCGGCAATCCTCGAAGATGAGACGAATGATGGGATATATCAAGGGCGAAATGGCGATGTATCATAGTCCACTTGCCATTGAACAGGCAACAAGACCCTCAGTGTTGAGCCCAGCATGTGTCAAATCTTCTGTTTTCGAAAAAGATAACTTGACAGATCCCATGGATCTTGATAACTCCCGGATGATTGTAGCAGCCAATCCATCAAAGCCAGGTGCCACATCATCCAGCTCTTTCACCAGCACCAGTGTTTCTCCTTCACTTCAAACTGCTTCACTCTCGGTTTCATCGAGTGAAAAGCCCCAGGCATCCCAGATTGTGTCATACTCTACCTCCAAGCCACTTCCAGTGCTTCCTCCTCCTTCAATCCCTGAACCATCATCCGTAGATACCTCAAGCACCAACTTACCAATGATCACTTCTTCCAATTCACATGTTATTTCTGTTTTAGATACCTCAAGTATCGAAAGTTGTCAGATAACATCTATTCCAGATATCGATGAGGTGGATACTTCTGCCGAGCTGCCAACCGCCGTTGAATCAGACGTTAATACTCCATCTGAAATCGGGTCTTCCACTAGACTAGCCGCCGAAACTCCCTCGATCGTCACCGAAACGACCGCCTCCTCAGTTATTCCAGTCATCGACCTCGACAAATGGGTTTCATCGCCCGAATTCATTGCCATTCACTCATCCACCTCTTCCTCTGCCTCAGTTATCAAATCTGAGACTGACACAGATAAGAAGCTGCAAATGAAAGTTGAAGAAGATCCAAAAATTCCAGAGGCAGAAATGAAGAGTAGTGAAGAGGAAGAAAGGAGACGGGAGACAGAGCTTGAGGATGCGATAAGAATTGCTGAGGCTAGAATGGAATTGCATAGAGTCAGGAGGAAGATTGAAACATTGAGATCGGGAAGTTTGTGAATTGTGGGGAGTTAAGTAGTTTCGGTGGGTTACAATTTAGAGACTTGACTAAGGGGAATGCTTGAGGGACATTATTAGCTTGGGAGCTAGCACGCGTTCTCTTATCATGATAACTTCGCTTGGCATTTTTCGATTCATTTTATTATATTCTTCGACTTATTAATACTTGATTTTTCTCATAAATTTGCGATGGACATTCTTTAAAATTATTTGATACTAGGGTTCCAGATATTTTTGGGGCAGTCACCGAACATGAATCTATAGAATTGAGAAAGTAATTTGGTTCGGGTGTGGGAAACATAACTTCCATGATTAGATCGCTGAGCCAATGAATTTGACGAACAATTATTCGGTTGGTAAAGAAAGGGGAGGCAATTTCCTTCCACATGTCGATACAGCCCGGGTGGCGTATCGTGGCTCCGAAATAGCGTCCATACGCTAAGATTAATCACGTGCCCGAGCGATTTATCAAACGAGACATTACTTGAAGCAACATGAATGCCCAACAGCATGGTACGGCGAGGGTGTGATTACCGGACTTGTCAAGCATAAGTAGTATTTTAGAATCTCTCTCGATGCAATAAAAGACACCACATTGTTTACTCCTCATCCGCGTCTTAATAATGATTCGAAAAATCGGGCTTTTCCAGCCTTCAGGGATTCTTTCGCGCATCACACCAATTCGACGTCCATTGAATTTCAGAAGTTTCCGGTCTAGAGTTCTTACAAACTACAGTCATGATTCTTCACAGGAGATTAATATTGAGCCGCCTCCGCCTCCTCAGCCGAGCCCTCCAGTTAAATCCAATGTGGCTGCAATGACCATATTTACCGTGGTAGCCGTGGGTACCATATACGCCACATCCGCCATATACGAGAATCTGAATCTTCAAAAAGAGACACCCAAAATCATGGATATGTTTATCCGAAACGAGGAAAACACATACGATGTAAGACGCAAAATGCACGAGATGAACTATCCTCCTGGAATATTATATGCGCCGACCCCATGGCCACCCGTTCACCAACTTTCCAGTCCTCAGGGACGAGAAAAATTCTGGAATAGACTAATGCCCTCGGAAAAATTCACATACACCATCATGGCGACGAATATAGGAATCCATGCTCTGGGTAGTCTGGCTCCAGGATTATGGTCCAACATCTTCGTGCATACACCCGGCATGAATCGAAATTTCACATTACTTACCTGTGTATTTGGTCATGGGGGACTTGCACATTTGGGTATGAATATGTATGGATTCCATTCCTTCATGCCGGCCTTGGGACAAGACCCCTCTTTCAAATCGAGTATTCCCCACATGACGGCTTTCTATCTCTCAACGGGTGTTATGGGTAGTTGGGCACAAGCTTTAAGTGCGGGACTCAGACCAAATGTCCCGGCGGTACCGTTTCTGGGAGCGAGCGGTGCGATATTTGCACTGATTGGTGCATTTGCTATGCAACACCCAGAAGCTCAGTTCCAGATTATGTTCATTCCGTATCCGTTTGCGGCGCAGGAATTGTTGGGTGCAGCTATGTTGTTTGATCTACTGGGTGTTTGTGGTGCTTATAAAACTCTTAGATTGGGACACGCGGTAAGAATCTCTTGAGAATCTTCAGATAACATGTGACTGATTTTGAATTGTTTAGGCGCATTTAAGTGGTGCTTTGATGGGTTTGGGATATGTGTATTTCGATTGCGAGAGGAATATTTGGAGACCTCTTTGTAGAGGTGTTCATAAATGGTTTGGAATGAGAAAGTGGGAGAAAAAGATTGAGCGGTATATTTGAGATGAGTGGGACAGAGTAGCCTAATTTGGCTCCTGTTACCAAAGGCGATGTAGAAAAATCATGAGTGGAGATGAGATCCTCTCCACTTATAGCTGCTCATTACTTGCGTTGGCGTTTAGGTATTGATGTTCCCCTCACATAGTTAATCAATGGTTTATTAGTGGAGAAGGCATGGCTTCCAGAATCTAAACGATCACCAGAAAGTCGTCGGGAGTGAGTTGGCATGTGACACAGCAGGTAATACAAACTGGCTGAATATATTCATTTGATGTACTTAATGAAAATGGTATATAGAGTGCCTTGACATCCGTATCCGTCATAAAATGTGATCATAAAATTACCTCCTCGCGATGCCCTCTTCCCAATGACAAAATCCTCATTGGCCCGCAAAACTCTTAATGCCAAACTATAATATGAGAGCCATAACATAAATCATGACTCTTTAACAACAGTATCCCACCTGGTCACTCACACTATTCGTTTCACTCTTATCCTTCTCCTTTCCCATAAAAGATCTCGTGGGTGTCAATTGCCTCGCCCCCCTCGCACCACCCCGCAGCCCAACCCCCTTCTACCTACTATCCCACGTGGTTTCTAGATATTAAATTTGGACATGCGGTTTTGGCACACCAGCGTGTTCAATATGCTCTTCCTCAACCGTGGCCTTTGTGACCTCTCTCTTCCTCAGATTATCATTACCAGCTTCGACATCAGGAATAGTAGCAGCGAATTTCTCATTGTTGGTGCTGACATGAGTACCAGGGCCTCCTCGAATCGATCCAGTATTCGATTCCACATCTCCTTTATGAGCTATTGCAGTGACCCCAAACAGATCGTCCATTTTCTCAAGCGAGAGACCTTTGGTTTCAGGGATAAGAAACCAGACGAAGAAAAACATACTGAAGCAGAAGGTGCCGAAGATGAAGTAAGTACCGTAGCCGGCACGGCCGACTGTTACTAGCACTTTTTAGGTGTTAGTTTGCCTCATGATGGTATTGAAAGGATTTGGAGGGAGCATGAAAAAGAATGCAGAAAGAAGGGGGAAAGAAAGAGAAAATACTCACTAGTAGGAACCGCCTTCGCAACCACAAAGTTAAACAACCACTGGACCGCTGCCGCAATCGCTACATTCAACGCTCTCAATCTTGCAGTCGGAATCTCACTAACAATAATCCAACAACAGGGTCCCCAACCAAATTGAAAGAACCCGGCAAATAGATAAATGCAAGTCAAGGCAAAATATCCTACGGGAGGTATGACAGCATTCGGAAGCGGCGGATTAAATCGCACATAGAAACCAATAACAAACATAGCACATCCTTGTGCAATACTCGTCCAGAGCAGAGATTTTCTTCGTCCGAGAGAATCAGCAGCTAAGAGGAGAAAAGCAGCACAGGTTGCCATTTTTACAATTCCATAGATACCAGTGGCGAATAGCCCGGATGTGGTGGAGTCAATGCCGAGATTCAAAAAGATCTTTGGAGCGTAGTAGTTGATGGCGTTGGTGCCAGTCATTTGTTGACAGATCATTAGTCCGATTGATATTAATGCTCGGTTGCGATTTCCTTTTATTGTCCACATTTCTTTCATGAGATCAAGGAAACCAGCGCCGCCGATTAGTCGACGCTCGTTTTCGAGTTGTTCGGCCATCTAAGGTAGAGTTAGTAGGGTTTGAATTAGCCGGGTAGTGGTATCATACTTCTTCTAACTCCATGCGAACGTATGGATGATCCGGTGGAAGACTTGTTCCGGTTAGTAATGCTTCTAAGAGTTTCATGAAGGTAGCAATTAGCTTACTTGGAAACTAGTGACAAGACTGCAGTAGCCTTTTCCCAATTGTCTTGGCGAGCCAACCACCGAGGAGATTCATGACACAAAAAGATTCCTACGAGTAGGAACATTGCCGGCAACATTTGTAAAGCCAGTGAAACTAAGGAATAAGAAGTTAGTGTTCCGCTAGCCGTAGTTCTGGCTTGAAGGGGGTAGCATTACCGATCCATGCTGTATCGCCTTTGAGATGCAATATGGCACCGTAGTTGACCCAAAAACTTAACATAGTCCCGGTAGCAATGAATAGTTGATACATTCCGGTGAGAGCACCTCTGATAGCTCTTGGTGCATTTTCACTGACCTGAAGGTAATGAGTTGATTAGTTTAAAATCTCAAAACGAGGAGGAATTCGGTGGAACATACATAAAGTGGTGTAAGCATACTTGCAGCTCCAACACCTAGTCCACTAACCAGTCTACCGACATATAATGCTGAGCTATCAATCTTTAGCCACCGATCGAAATTCGTAAGTCAGTTCCACTCACATATGCCCGTCTGATGCACATTGAATAATGACACCTAGAATTGTGATACCGGCAGCAACGAGTAGCGCAGGCTTTAACTTATTAGTAAATTGATCCTTATAAATTCCACTGGAAATCATTACCTTTCGACCCCATCGATCTGCAACGTAGTAGGAAGCCAATGATCCAAAGAAACAACCTGCTTGTAATGTACTAACAACTATTTATTTTCAGAATCAAACTCCAAATTCATGTTTCTAAACTCACTATTCGATGCAAGATTTGCTTGCGCAACCTTACTAAGTGTGTCGATATGATATTTCCTATTCATGTCAATAATTTACTCAGTGTAGTATAGGAGTGTTAACATACTTGGTGAAAGACGGCATCACAATAACACCTCCAATTGTACCAATATCTATGCGAATCAGTATCATTTGCATTCCAGCTTTCGAATCCTGATTTGAACGTACCCCAACCAAAAAGCATGCCACCGAAACAAGCTGTGTAAAAGTCAGTGAATTCTGCCATCATATTGCCTTCTCGCATCCGCAAAAGTTGTGTGCATACCGGAACATGCTAAGAAGAAAACTCTCCATCCATAAATTTCCGGGCTATTCAGAGATTCCAATTAGTTTAGAGAATTTCGCGAAGATGCATATATGCTTACGGGTCCCTGTCGTATAAAAGTTAGTACCAATTGTCAATTTTCAATTAGTTCAAGGTCTCTGCACATACGTTCTCATGGATTCATTCTTCACAATCTTCATCAAAAACCTTTGCCCAAGTCCGACCGCCATCTTGACGAGTCTATTCGTGTAATCTGAGATATGATTGAGCTGTTTCAACCAGAATGTTTCTCATCGACACCGAAAATATAATAAAGTCTCAACGTGTCAATTTCAATGGAAACGCGTACGAAGAAAAAGTCGAGCCTCTGCAGGAAAGTCGTACCTCTGGAGGTTTAGTCTGCCATCATAAATGTGGTCGAATACAACCATATAATATCATCCCATTTACCCCATACCCCATCATCCCAAAGGAGAAACGATTCTCCATTAGCAACCAAGACCGATATCTCCATAACTATCTTCCACCTTGGTCAACAATTGGCCAAGGGAGCCAAGTATACCCCCTCTTAACTTTAGAATCCCCACCCCCAGATTTCTGATACCCTGGTTAAATCGCCTACATCTTTACATGGGATAATTCCCACGTTGCATTCATCCAACCAATATAATTTCTTATCGTAGGTTCTGCATGACCATATCTGGGGTTAATAACCGGTGGGGCGCATATATAAGTCTCGCGTATCCGTGCGTTGTAATCCGTTTGCAGTTTGGTGTGTGGAGCCCCGCACACAGAAGGATGTGTTGATCTTGTTGTGTTGAACAAGGGTGTGGATTACAAGAACCTGGAAGGATATTTATCCAGCAATCCCAAACAAGAAGGACGTTCGAGTAGAAGGAATAAGAGCTTGGCTTCGAGCGCCACGCATCAAACGCCAAATCAGTTATATGTAGGCAGATCGCTTATAAGATGTGAATATGATGCACACGAGTTGAGGTGATAGATAAGCGTGATAAGGTTGTGCTCTGTCACACTATTTTCTGACTGAGTCGAGTAGGTCTAGGCATAAATGTCTTGGAAACAAATAAATACCTAGAATATCTAATCGTCTATAGAACTTACCAAATGATAACTCACTCAAGTTCTAATCTCATTCACCAGCCACCCGGGAATGACAGGTTTATTTTCCCACCCATCAAGATAGTTCTCTGCGTCCCCAGAGGGCTTGGCATATATACCAGTCACAAACCAAGCCACAGTTCCTTTTTTCAATGTGATCTGTAATGTAGGTATCACGGTACGACTTTCAACCAAATTAGAATTTGGGTCAGCATTAACGAGCATCGCCGTGCGACTACTTTCACCATCACTTTCGAGTGCAGCTATTCCAACCGCCCCTTTCGATACAGCGAAAGCACCGACTGAGCCTGGCGAACTGCCTTCAGGTGTGTTGAGATCGTAATTTCCAATGATCTTGGGAAGTGTACCTTCATTTTTGGTTGAGTCGTAAAGATCAAGGGAGCGACCATCCGATTTTCGTTCGTTATAAATGGCGAATGCGCCATCTGCCGTCATAATTTCTCTTCCAGCCTCTATCTTATGAACCCGAAGATGCCAATTTGGAGTTTCGTCGACGGGAGGTATAAGATAAGTTTTGATGGTAACATCTGGGAACGGTTTCCAGATAGACTTCAACACTAATTGTTTATCGTGCGTCTCAATGACTGCTGTCTCGCAAATTCGGCGTGTTTTCCAAACTTCACCTCCATCATCAGACAAACCGAGCTGTGAAGCCAACGCAAACTGTTCCAACGAAAAGCATCCTGTAGGCACAGAATAACCATATGCGCTACTGTACGCAAAAGATCCATACTTTGCATGTGTTCCTCTCATAGGATATGAACATGCTTGACCTGACGAGAGTATCATCTTGTGATCTCCAAGGTAGCTGATGATATGTCCAGGATGTTTCAAAGCTTTGATGGCTGGGAGCAAGTTCGTTGGGTATGGTTCTTCTTCCGATGTCCAGAATGGATGATCCTGGGGAACAGCCAAACAAATAAATGCCAAACATGCCCAATATGGACTTCCTGGTGAATTATAATTTTCCGACATGAACATGTTTGGAAAAGAATATCCCACGGTCAAGGTTCCAGTAGGACTCCATATTTGATCCTGAGTTTGCCACCATCTGAGATTTCTCAATAGCAATCCCTTAACAATACCCCATGTTAATGGTTCTGGTAACTCGACATCAGCGTATGCTAAAGCACCCCAGAATGAAGCCATGGCGAATCGGTATCCGACACTTCTTCCAAATGGTGTTGCTCTTCCTCCTTCATCGAAATAATGAATAAAGTCCAATGCATAATCTTGAGCTCGTTTCTTGAACTCCGCAGCTTTTTCTGGATCCTCATCGCCTGCCAACTTCGCGTATAATAGTTGAAGGAACTGTATAGCAAAGCTTCCACTGTAATAGTCTTGTTGCCAAATCCCCTCAGGTCCATCATTTGACCATCCTTCTCCTCGAAAGAAAGAATTCAAATGAATAATATCTTGCTCAATCTTCTCTTGTGAAAATTTCCCTCCATTCTTCTTCAATCCTAGATTTGCAAAGACTCGAAACCACAACCAATTTGTATTCGGCATGCTAGAACTGGTCAATGGTTTTGCCTTGGTTCCCACCTTCATCAAAACTCACTTCTTACTATTAATTGAGTTTCCCAACCACGTCTCCACATTCCCTCTCTCCTTCTCACTCAACTTTTCCCAAAATACTGGCGCAACAGCTAATGCAAACCCCAAAGGACACATCTCCACCATTCTTTGATCATTGTCTCTCGGCTCTCCCCAATACTCCTCATTTTCGGGATCAGTACCTTTCTTCAATCCCTCAATCCACCATTCCGCCCCTTCATATTTTCCTCCTCCAGCTAAAAGCGAACTTAATCCCCATAATGGTCTACAAAATCCTTCAATTTCAGCAGCACGCGCATCGAAACGGACGGCAGTGGAACCAGGTACACGGATCAAGGCTTTTTGCGGGGAGAAATGAGATTTGAGGGGATCAAGAAGGGTTTTGAGGAGATTTTGAACAGATTCTCGATCATGGATGGAAATGAGGGAGAATGGATGTTTGGTGTCATAGCCTAGTGTTAATTGATTTGGGGATGCCATGATGAAGGATGTTGACGCGAACCTGCACTTGAGTCCGCAGCAAGCCAAACTCAAGATGCAAAATGAAAGGAAGAAGACAAGTACCTACATGGTGATATTTAGATTATATCATGACATATTTACCTCGTGAGAATGATATGCCGACAGCAAATATCTACATTGAGTGTTTTGCACCGCGTTGATTGGGACGCGGTCGTCCGGGGATAAATTGAGGTGGGGGAAGTGCATGCAGGCTAAACTCAATCACTAAACGCACACCCTCTCTATCGACATCGACCTCGCCCCGCCTTAAATTATTTTATAGAATTGGAGAGCTACTCAGCTAGTATTTGCAAAGCTTGATATGTAACACATTTGAATTTCACATTCACCATATCCTGGTGTAATAAAATCTTACAAGAGCCGCGATTTCTACCAACACTAGCCGCCCTCTTGAGCTGCATCCGAGCCACAGCTTCCGAACATTTATCTCTCCATACCGTCTGCTTGATGATAGTTATGATGCCTCTCCTATCCTCTAATTCGCACGAACTCATCAGCAGTTTGTCGCAATACTTCTTCTGTCATCTCCCAATAAACTGAGTCCTCGGGGTTAGTACTTGGCGTCGATGGTTCCAGGAGGACTATAGCATCTATGAGCTCCGTAAGGTCATATTTTATTGCTGTTTCCTTCTTAAGAACCATAGCCTTCTCATCGAATGCTCCAAAATCTGTTGGTTCTTGTCTGATTTTAGAGTTTTGAATCATATCCACATCGATTGGCTCCTGAATGATCTTTTGTCTCTTCGCCAACGGCTCTTTAGAGGGCAGATCTGCGTAATCTAAATCAGAGTGCTCCTCATTTATTCTATGATTTGGGATTATCTTGGGCTTGAAATTTCGTGTTAAAAATTTGTTCGAGAGTTCAATCTCCTGCTTGACTGCGTTCGGCGGACCTTGAGCTTCGCGTTTGATTTTGCCCACTTCGCGAGGATAGGCAGACTACTGGGCAGTGCCATCTTCATCCGAAATGATCGATCTGTTAGCAGGCAAAACAGAGAAGTGCTCTTTGATGACCCCTCTTACAAATTCCTTCTGTTCTTTCTAATGTTATATATGTTAGCGAGAATGATCTGTCAATGGTAAAGGGCAACATGCCTGCAAGATCCAAAACACAATTTCTCTCTCTGATGGTTGCATATCATTCCAAGAACGGAATTTTCCAGACTCACAACGCTCAGGTGTAAAATTTAATGACCACTCTCTACGCGATCTGCAAAGGTTCTGTAGTTCTCTCAAGGTGCACCGACGCTCTATGTCAGTAAGAGATTTCCAAGGATTGTAATAGAGGGGAGGCGGATAAGGGACAACGTCTAAACGATTGAGAAAGCCTAAGTAATACGGTCAGTAATGTATATTCGATGAATGGCGAGTGGGGTTCACCGAAATTACGATAGATAAAATTAAATTTGAGAAGATCTGAAGTATAGAACTTGTAGGAGGAGACCACAGATTCTTTAGTCGATATTCGATTTTGACCCAACCTTCAGATGTCAGATTAGAAAAGAAGCCTGGAGATGTTGAGACCTTACCCAATAGAGTTCGTGATCCGTTGTTCCTCGAAACTCGACGTGTCTACCTTCTCGGCATTCCACAAGGCTGTGGTGGTATCTCTTGAGAGGTAATTGTTTGGCGTTGCGGCAATTCTCCGACGATTAAGTGTGACGTGAAAGCTTCCAAGGTCGACAGAATTAACGCCGATTATGTCAGTCTGACCCGACAATCTTTCATCGATTTTGAATTTCTTGAAGACAAATGGAGCGCCGATGACATTTTTACCGTAGTTACTCATGTTTACACAAGCGATTTCCATTCTCGGATCTTGTTTGCTGCATGCACGACCTGGGTTTGGGTCATTCACAACTGCTAGACCGTAATAAGTACTCTGCCCTTTAAAGTAAAGATTTGCCTCGACTGCATCAAAAGGTTTGAAGCAAAAACCAGTCTTCAAAGTTATCTGAATCTTGAACATTATTCCAGGATGCGCGGTAATGTAACGCTCAGCTTCTCTGTCGCCATGTATCTTCTGATCTCCTAGCTTGACATACTCTTTGAAGGACTGACCTGTCACAGCGTTGACGATCTGAACCTCGTACTCATTGCCATCCTCTGTTAAAATAGCCATGATGAAGGTTGCAGTTCGTGGTTCTTCGCTGTGTTGTTGATTGAGAGAAAGTCAAATACTGCTATGGAAGATAGCAGAACCGGCTTAGCGTATCTCACTAGTACCCGGTAAAGTGAAAGATCGAAGGCCAAGAGGAAAATTGTAAGGAAGCAGAAGTGAACCCGAGAAAAAATACAGTTGATTTGAGGTTTATATGCTGTAATATGGAAAGCAAAAAGAAAGATTTTGCGATTCCTTTTCTCAAGATACCATTCTCGTGCTATAAGCTCATGACAACTGCATGAATACATATCCCTCAATTCAGCTGCTAAATATGAACTTGCTTTTATTACTACTGCTATGCTATCTGGCTTGGCAGTCGAGAACTTACGATGTCATAGGCTGAGCACAGCAAAAAATCAACACAATCGTCTCCCATATCAGCAGCTATGTACATCATTACATCCCGAATTCCAGAGATATATGCCCCTGGCCAGAAACAACATGCACGAAATAAAAGCCATCTACTCAGTCTTAATTCTCTTAGCCCTCGCCTCAGCATCTTCGATCTTTTTTGTGATCTCATCCATCTTTCGTTTCTTCTCCAACAACTCAATATCTCTCTGAAGTTTTTCTTTCTCCTCCCTCAACTTTTGTAACTCTTCCAGTTCCTGCAATTCTTCATCCACAACTTTAGAGGCTTCTGGCTTCGCAGCTCGTGTGGAATCAGCATGTCTTACAGCTTTGGAAACCTTGGTCTCGGACACGGACATAAGTTCCTCGTCGAAATCAAGTGATGTAAGATCAATTGGTTCTTCCTTAACGAGTGTGATCGAAGCTTGAGAAGGAGCTTCCTGAATGCTTTTGATCTGGTATTCGACTCTCGGAATCCCTGTCTTATCCCTGTGTGGTGTAGTGATGTTGGAGTGAGTAAACTCTGTAACCGACTTATCTGAGATGACTACTGATGACCCAATTGAATTGAGTGGAGCTGCTTCTCCAATGCTTTCCGCCCTGTTTAGCATTGTAAATGGTAACGGGTAAAATTCCATATTTATTGTACGATCTTCTCTCATACCGTATGGAAAAGGTGAAGGTGAAGGTGAAGCGAAGGAGGGGGAGATTGAAGAGTCACGGGACTTCAAGAGAATGGTCATAATGAATGCCGTCTAGCTAGCGTAGGTAATTACAACAATTTATTGTGTATTGATATAAAGATACCATGTGGTCATTCATATTATGCACTTCACTCGCTGGTGGAATAGTAAGATTAAGCCTCTGTATCGCCACCTATTAACTACTGAGGTACAAAGTGTTGCAGATATGCTATTCATGAAAGATAATATGTCAAATATATTGAACTGTTTCCTAGAAACTTGTAGCAGACTGTTAACACTGTCCGTAGCTGGATCCCAATAGAAGCTAGTAACATGTTATCATTGAGAAGTAGACCCATCATTCATTCCGTCCGGACACGCTTCTTAGATCTCGCCGCATCAATTCTCTCCTGCAAATTATCTCGCTCCCGCTTCATATGGTGAAGCTTATCCTCATGCGCAATTTCTTCCTCCAATTTCTTCACTGCAGCTTCTTTCTTACTTGAATCTTCGTCCGAAAGCCCCGCTGTAATTCCATCAGACTTCGAAGCCGAGTTCAGGATGTAATCGTTAGTTTGAGGAACAAAATTACCCAGATTGTCCTGATTATCCAGATCAGTTTTTTCGTCTTTGATTATGTTCGCGCCTGGAATGTCATTGATTCGTGATCCGTCTTTATCAAGCTCATTCTTCAACTCTTTCTTGTCGCTCCTGTCCTTGTCCATAGCCTTTGAAAATGGGCTGTCATCTTTTTCATCAAGAGAAATGATCCTGCCCATCATACTTTTGTACTGACGCCGGATGATACCTCGCTGGCGATCCTTCTTATCTGTCTGTCAAAGCGCGTCATTGGTTGTTCCTACAAAGAAAAAGACGGAATGAAACATACCTGAAGCTTATCAAATGCCTTTTGCTTCTCAGCAGCATACATCTTGTCCCAATGACGCCATTCCCATGGATCATCCTCTGACTTGATCCTGCTACCAGTCATGGGGAGTATCAAACCGGTCTCTTTCTCTCGATCTTCATGCCATTGCTTCTTGCTCAGTTCTTGCAACTCAGCCAAAGCGGTCTTCCTTTCGTTATCGTTCAAGATAGCCCACGAATAACAGTGTAGGGGTGGAGGGTACTTGATGATACCCACCAGTTCTAGAAATTCTTTATGCCATGCCAGTCAGTAAGACGCCATAGGATTTGATAGAGAGTTGGCTAACCTGCTGCCCTGCAATGAAATTCGAATATCCCGGAGCAAGATCCGGTGTTATAACTTGTAGTAATGCGTTCTGGTGGTTGAGGCTCTACCATAAGTTTACCTTTGTACATAAAGCCTCTTGATAAAACGTTCGGCTGCTTTGTTCCGCCGGAAAACCTAGACATATTAGCTGTTAGTTATTTGAGAGCATCGCGAATATAACTACCCGATAGCCGAGTTGATGCCACGTTTTTTATAACTATCGATGTCAACCTTTTTGGCGTCCCAGAGATTTCGATTGTTGGGCTGAATGACTGCAGGATCAACGACTCCGTCTTGAGGCTCGAGAGCGGACACGTTACGCTCAAAAATTGAAAGAGTATGCTGGAACTCCAATACTGCCTTGTCGTATTCATCATCCGATAGTGTGACGGTGTGTTTCTTGTATAGGTATAGCTTGACTGAAAATGTCACGAGACTATCCGGATGAATGCCCATGACATCTGTCTCGTCGGAAAGTTTTTCATCTATCACAAAAAGCTTTAGAAATTGATCAATCGTAAGAATTGAAACGTCACGAACCCATTTCGATACTTCTAAATGAAAATCTTGCTCCAAGCACCTTCTCTCCATCAACTTCTACATCAGCATACTGGATCTTCTGGACAATACTCTCCTTCAATTTTCTTGGGCCTTTTAGTTGCCAAAAACAGATACTAGAAATCTGTTCACCTGGATCAGAAAAGTACAACTTAGCATCAATAGCGTCATATCCACCAGTATCAAAGCCTGGTTTCAATGTGACTTCGATGTAGTATAAGGTGTCCGGTTCTGCAATAATGTACCTCGTACGGATGACATCGGAGGCCAGTTCCTTGCGTTCGACTTTAATATGTTCGTCGTAATACGTGTCGTCCGGGTATCTTTTGATTCGGACCTCGACCTCACCTTGACTTGTATTCAAGATAGCCATGCTAAGCGACACTAGATGTCTTGCGCGTTTATGCTTATACAAGCTGAGAACTTCAGTATCGAAGAATGAAAGCTTCGCGGTGCCAAATGATGATATTCCGATTATCTGGATGGAAAGGTCAGGATATGCGGAAAGGTGATTGTCATACAGATCAGTAAGAAGTAAAGAATTTGAATGAACGTCTTGGGATTTGAGATGAGAAATAATAGTGAAGTAACCCTCACCTTACACAGTGTGAAACGTCCAGATATAGTGCATAATTCGAGACAGCATCATTCCCTCTTGACCTCTACACGAAGATACATGCACTCGAAGCTACGAGTCCGATTCTCTTTGTAAGCCTTTCCATCTGCCTGCCATCTCTAGAAGACACAAAATTCTTCAATGAACCACCGAGACTCAGACTTGCAGTAAGAAATCTCTAGGTCATAGTATCTGTCTCCAAACTTTTCCTCGGCTTCCTCAAACGATCTTTCCCTCAAAATTCCCGACAGATCTTCCATATTCTCCCAACCTCTCCACAATACGATATCGCGCCTACACATTCCTCAATGCTGTGACACTGCTGCTAAACTTCTTTTCAAACATCAGTACAATCGACTGTTTTCCTTCCCACTTTACAGCTCTGGAGCATAGTCACCAAATGACACAAATAACACACTATTCCTTCCGCATCAACTCGCCTATTCAAGAAACTTTATTCCGGTAAATATTCAACAAGCTAAATCCATCCATCTCCTCTTTCCAAGCTCTCTTCACTAAATCCCTAGTGATATACCCGCACTGTAATACACCCACACCAAATCAGCAATCTCATACATCTCCTCAAATTATCCCTAAATTATCCCCAAACAATCCTCAAATTATCCCCAAAAATCCCCAAACAATCCCCAAGTAATCCCCAAGCACCCCTCCCTCAAAAAAACAATCTTATCCTCCAGCATACTATCCAGCATACTATCCAAAAAAATATGAAGCCTAAAATACCAGAACCCCCCTTCAAGCCGATTACCCCACAGCATAATCCTCAAACGACGACACAAATAATCACAGCTAATCGAACATCCCTATGACATCACAACCCACTCACCCCTTTCCACCAATCCAATCACCCTTAATCTCATCATGGGGAGCGCAAAACTATTGGCGAAAAATATCCTCCCGCCCCCCTTTTCCCCCAATCCCCATTCCTCAAACCTCCAGAATTCGCCGACATGAAGAAATTTGCACTTGCATTTCCTAACACTTTTATCAGATCACATTACCACAACCACCCAGCCAGCATACCTCATAACCTACTTTCACATCCCACACAAAGCAAATCACACAACATCAATTACCAAGCAAAAAAGAGTATTATAAAGATCTTCTTCCATCATCTCATTGTTATTAATTAAAACGATATGAGTATGTATACTTCTCCTTCACACTCCACAATCCCCGCTTACAATCTCCTCCCCAACAATTCCACTCTCCCACACCACCCATTCATTCATCCGTCTAGTTGCCCAGACACCCATCAACTTTATTGCACAACGCGTATAAAAAGAAAATTCAAACCGGCAATCAAATCAATGAGTACCGATACCATTAACCACGCACGCTATGCAGAAACGAAGTAAGTAATTCTCTTGAACTCCCCCTCCATCCATCCCTCTATTTCTCATTTCCCTCTTTCTTCCTTCCTTATTTTCCTCCCCCCTCCACCCACCCATCCATTCATTCATCCAGCGTACATGAACCCATTCCCCGCTACCATCCTCTCATCCATACCAGTCAAGAAAATAAGGTACAAGAAATATCTTGACGTAAAAGAATCCTTCTTTGAAGTAGTACTAGACATTAAAAGGCCTTAATTCTCATATCACATCTCATCCCTAGTTTTATCCCCTAATCTACAGTCCCTCATCATCCACATTTCTATCAATCATCCAATTCAATTGCTTTCTGCGGGGACCCCTCTACTTCTGAATCTGCAGGCGGACTAACAATCATCGTTGGCGTAAGCAATTTCTCACCATCCTCGGATGACGGTGCCCCCGGTACCAATATCGTAGTTTCTTTCAACTTTTCCTCCGCGCCCGGTTCTTCTTCTGTCCCTGGTATAGCAGCTTCGGAGGTACTTGTAGCTTTTTGTCTACGTCTTCGTCTTTCATTTCTTTCCTCCTCTGCGTTGTTTCTCCTCCTAGATCTTCTAGCACTATCCCTTCTAGCAGCATCTCCCTCCCCTTCATCAGCCCCATCAGCTCCTCTCATGCCTTGTAATAATTGCGCTGCTCTATCAGCGACGTCATCGGTTTCATTCTCGACTTCTCTCGGGGGTGGCAAGTCAGGGCTCAATAAACCTTCTGTGCTAACTGACTCAGGACTCTTGAGTCCCATTTCAGCCTCTGGTATTTCATCCGGATCAGGAATCTTTTGACCCGATGCAACTCGAACTTGATGACGATTTTGCAATCGTGCCCTCCGTCTGCGATCTCTTTGATCACGAGCTTGTGGTGCTGCAGCTCGCAATTTCTCCAGTAAGGAATCCATAGCACCTGTGGAACTTGGTGAAGGTGGCCCAGCAGAAGCTGTGGCACCAACATTTATTTGTGCTCGCTTTCGTTTCATGGATTCCTCGTTTCGCTTTCTTGTGGCTTCCAAAATCATGTTCTTTTCTTTCGACTTCTTCCACTCGGTTACGAAAATCGCAAGCTTAGCGAAGAAGTCTCTCCTTGCATTCTCGTCAGCAGCATCTTCACCATAGAAGACCATGATATC